TTTATAACTAAAATTTAAAATTATAATTAATATTATTAATAAAAAATAATTATATTTAAAGCAAAATAAAAGAATTCTAATTTTATTTTTATATAAAAATAAAAAATATTTATATTTTATTATTAAAATTAATTTTTATTATATTATTTATAATTATTATTATATTAGAATATATATATATATATAATTTATTATTTAATTTATTATTTAATTTAATAATATTTATTTAAATTTCTTATATATATTTAATAATTATAGAGAATAAAAAATATCGGGTGACATTGAAATTACATGATCGGTCTCTTTTTTGGCATTACTTTATTACTAAACTATATGTAACACAGTAAAGATCACAAAATTTGTATTTACGTGCAACAATAGCCAAAGAAGATCATTTCCATAAGGAGCAATGCATATTGTTACACGAGAATATTACCTTAACCAATCAACAAGAAGTAGTCACATTATTTATCACCTACAATTAACTTTCCAACAAAATTTTTGTCTTCTTCTTTCTCTTTCTTTTAATCTTGATAAGTATTGTTCTTATATAGTAAGTAACACTTTTTCTCATCAACCTTAAGAGAACGTGTATTTAATTTCGAGTCAATATTGTAGTTTTCCAATTTTCAACTGAATTAAAAAGATCATTCTACTACTAAATCAATATTTAAAACATCACAACATATAACATTCACACTAACATATTCCCCATACTAAAATGAGCAAGAAACCAGCACAATATCCTGAAGCTGAAGTCTATGTACTAATCAAAGAAGATGACCGTCACCGACTTGCATCTATTCACAATCATCAGCATCAGCATCAGCATCAGCATCAGCATCAGCATCATCATCATCATCATCATCAACTAAAACCCATTAAGAGTAAAAAAAATAAAAATAAAAATAAAAATAGCAATGATGTTATTGTCATAAGTAGTGATGATGAAGATCATGATGATGATGATTTACGCGATAACAACATTAAAACCCAAAGAAAAAGCAACATCAACCATAAAGAAAGCAACGGGGACTCCAACATGTATCTTAATAATAATATAAATAATCTTAATATAGACGATAATATGAGTGAGGTGGATAACGACATTGATATTTTTAAAAATAAAGTCAGTTTCATTTTATTTTCATTCTTCGTAGACGCGTCTTCACGAAAGACGCGTTCAAGAAATTCCCTCGTCAAAAAAAAAAAAAAAAAAAAAACTTTAAATTGTTTCATTATGTAGAAAAGTAAAGGTAAAGGAAAAAGAAAAGAATGGGACGGACAGCAAGAGCAAGAACAAGAGCAATCACAACAACCAATTCAACTCGAGGGCGTAAAAGGAGTATATATGGTAGACGAGGGCAGTTACCGTGTATTAAAATACGACGATTATGATGCCTTCTCGAAACTAACTAATGGAGTCAATGGAAAAAAATTGTTTTTCGCTCGAAAACAATGTCCTAAAAAGGTAATTGATTCTTACACGAATTGTTCAAAAAAAAAATTAAATATTAAAATGTAAAAATTATATCTTTTCACAACACATATGCACATGCATGCAAACAATAAAAGGATCCATCCACACCAATAAAAAGTTCCAAATTGAATTCAAACATAACTTCATCAACACATAATAAAAAAACAAGAAAAGCTAAATCCAGCTTGACTGACGCCACGTCATCATCGTCGTCGTCATCGTCATCGTCATCATCATCATCATCATCGCCACCACCACATAGCTTAATTGTTCCTGTTGAGAAAAATGTCATCCGTACCGAAGTACCAGTAACTATTCTAGGCAACAATGATGATAGTCCCATAAATTTTTTCTATATTGATGAATTCACGTATTCTGCCGAAGTCGGTCCGCCCAATTTTGATGTGCTGATTGGATGTGATTGTGAACCGGGCCAATGTGGAAAAGCTGGCAGAAGATGCGCATGCTTGGAAGAGAATAATTTTAAGCCTTATTATCATAAAGGTGGTAGGTAAACAAAAATTAGGTGGTTATCGTGCTGAATGATCTATTATTAATGAAGAAGAATTTTATTCTCTATTCCCAACGCCAAAGGAAAACCTACTTTAAATCCCTCCACAATAATCCAAGAATGCAATTCCGCCTGCTTATGTGGTCCAAAGTGTTCGAACCGAGTAATTCAACACGGCAGACAGATTCCTCTCGAAATATACGACACTGGAATCACCGGATGGGGTGTTAAATCATCTATAGACATACCAACGAACACATTTATCGACATATACACCGGACACGTAATCACGAAACAGGAATCAGAAAGATTGGCAGAAAAATACAGTGCAATGGGTAAATCGTATCTTTTTGATTTGGACTTTATCGAACCTGCGCATTACACTATCGATGCGTTCTATCAAGGAAATGTCACGAGATTTTTCAATCATAGCTGCGATCCGAATCTGGTCGTGTATATGGTGATGACCGATAACCAAAATATATATATGCCGAATATCGCGTTCTTTTCTCGGCGTCATATCAAAGCTGGCGAGGAATTGACCTTTGATTATATAAGATTACGCGAGAAAAAAGAAATGAATTTGATGAAGGAGAAGAATCGTAATTGGAATCCGAATAAGGTTGTCTTACAACCGGGGGAAATTTTGTGCAAGTGTGGGGCAAACAGTTGTCGAAAAGTTATTCAAATGTGACCGATTATAAATTTTAACGGAAAATATTTTTATTTTTGTCGATAGTGTTTTTTTACACGTTATATTTCTAATAATAAATAACCTAGAAGTTATTACTTGAATGAATGATATACCAGCGGAAAAGTAACGATCTTTGAATACACAGTAAATATCGATAAGACTACCAATAAAGACTTTAGAAGCTTAACTTTATTCTAAACTGGAATTTGGCAAATTGCAATAAGCAAATTAAGACACATAAACACAAAGTTGAAAAATACGTCCACTAACTAAAATTAGCAATGATTATTTTTTGGGATCGATATATGTAAAATAAGAAATATTCCATTCGATTTTACATATTGTTCCCCCTTATAACATGATTTCGAATATACTTGTGATAATTTAACAACTTGTATGGTTGCTAGTTATAGAAATTATCATTGACAGAAAAATTGAGAAACAAATACATGTAATACATGTGTGTATTTTATTGAATTTTTTTTTTGGATCCTCCCAATCAATAATGAAACAACGGGGTTACTGTTTTTATGTATGTGGTGTCTATTTATATTATTTTGGTTGCGTAATATTTACGAAATCATGATGGTATATATTAATAGAAATCAACAAATGAAAAATTTCAGGATTGGTGTGTGGTAATTTTTAACCGGTATATGTATTATATTAATAAATTGATCACGTGTTATGTCCTCGAAAAAAAGAATGATTGATTCATTATCTTTCTCGTAAATTTACTCTCCCTCGGTGTTTGATTTGTTTTTCGATCATCCATCTGAGAATCTTAACATTAGTTGGAAAGTCGTGAAAAATAACCTTGGCGTACTTACAATCATGTTAAATTGTCTAATTTAGTTAGAGAAAACTTGCATTCATCTTAAATGTTAATCACCATAAAAGCTTTTTTCCCAGAAATATATTCGTGCACGATTGTGCGTAATGTCAAATATTCGGAAACTAAAAAAGATGCACCACCACAATGATAAGTCGGAGGATTTTTTTGGATAGTTTCTATTTAAATTGAACGATTTGTCATCGATATAAGAAAAACAAAGAATTCACATTTCTATATAAAGAATGGGCAAACAACAAATCATCGTAATAGACAAACTAACAATACGAAGACTGACGAATAATTCGGCTATTTTCGTTCCATTAGGACGCGAAAAGAAACATTTCTCGTTAGTTCGTGCCAATAATCAATCAATCAAAATCCATCCACACCGTTTTATTCTAGATCTTTTTAGGCATGAAAGTTTTTTAATTTTTTTTTAAGTTCGGTGCCAAGACTAAACGAGCATAGACGAAAATTAGAATCTCGCGTTTTGATCCATTGTTGAATTAACCGTTTATGTCGCCTCTTGTGTGGAACAATGAACAATGTTGATCGTCCTTTTTTTTTTTTCTAAAGGCAAATGTGTATTCACGAGATGTTCCATCCAGAGAAAAAACCGGATTCGGGAGAGAAAAAACATCCCCACCATACATTTATAGTTATACTTTACAAAGATTTTCCTCATTAAACAAATACCTGTATAACGTATAACGTATAACACCGATGCATTAATACATGCATTCCCATTATATATTTAGAAAAAAGTTAGTGTAATGGATATACATGTGTGTGTGTGTGTGTGTGTGTGTTGTATGATATGTATTTATGTATCAAAGAAAATAAAATAATACAAATTTACTATTACCTCTCATTCACTTTCTTATCTCTTTTCCTCCGCCCTTTTTATATTAAACTTTTCCATTCACCCAACTTCCGAGACTTCTTTTTCTCACACAATCTCACTTCACTCTCTCCTCTCTTTTTTATACCGTGTTTGAAACACCTTTTCCTGCCTACTATTATTCTTATTACTAGTATTACGTGTTTATATTACCTTCCTGCCGTTAGCGCGCCTATAACACACACTCGCGCCTTCCTGCAGAACTCGAATAAGAAAATAGACCTTACTATATAATTATATAGAAAATTTTACCAACCTAAAAAAAAAAATAAATTTAACTAATATAACGACAAATTTTTTACTTTACTTTTTTCTTTCTACTCTTCTTTCGCTGTTTTCAAACACGTTATAATAATATTGTAATAAAATCTATCACAAGAGAGATTGGAGTTTTGTGTCGTGTTGTCTCATGTGCGTATATATTATTTCAATCCCCTTTCTTGAAATAATATCACGAAAAGGTAAATACCCATTCTTGTTTTTTGGTTAAAAAATTGATGTAGAAATTTTTTCGTACTTATTTCTCAAGTTTTTCCACCAGATATTATGCATTGAACAAATATAAACTATTAAAACCAAACCATTTTAACACCGATAATTTTGCTGATTGTATTTCTACATAAATATTCACACGAACTATCATAAAAAAAGAGTGTGTGTCAACAGTTTCTTTCGACTTTATACGTGAAGATAAGAAAAAGCCCAATTATTAACAAATAACATTCAATTTCGGTAGCTCGGGTCGACGAAAATATTTCAGTACACGTATTATAAGAATCATATAATACCCAGAACCGAGAGAAAATGAAAAAATGCATAGACCAGTGGCCATCATTGTTTAGATCATCATTATTCTTTATTGGGATATTGTTGCATATACTGACGACAAATACGGTCGACGCACGTAAGTTTTTCTGGAATAATAATGATCATAATGAATAAGTTTTAGGGAATGAGTGAAATAGTGAGAATGAGAGGAAGGAATAATTTTTGAACGAATATGCTTTCTTTGTGGGTAAGTGGGCGTGTTGTGTTGTATTATGCGGTCCTGTGAAAAAGTGTTCGTGTTGCGTATATATTATATTCATACAAGCTTTTTGTTAAAAAATGGGATGTTGGAACGAGAGTATATCAAATATGAGACGGAGTTATTCTTTAATCTTTACGATGTGAACTTGATAGTTAATTTCAGTAATGTCTTTTTAACTTATCATTATCATTAGAGCAATGCTGTTATCAAGTGGTGTATGACTTGTTACCTGGCGCATTGTATCAAGTAAATGTGAGCGGTACAAGTTCAGCAGGCTCCGACTCTTACAGTGCACTCGTCCAATTCCCCCCGGAATACATGATTCAAGGGGATCCAACGTCACCATTTGCCACCATCAAATGCGACAAACAAGGACAGAACGGGTATGACTGTGAGACGCAAGGTAACGATCGATTCTTCGCCGAATTCACGCTAACGATTCCCGGAACCGGCGCACCCACGGCTGCGAATCAATCACCGCAAATGGTCAGTCCCAATGTCAGCCTGACGTTATTCGGTCAGGCTTGTACACAGAAACAGTTCTGTTCCGATCTGGTGGCCGCATCCAAAAACGGGGATACCGTGTCATTAGGATTCTTGGGCAGGTGGCCGAAATACGTGGTGATCATTGTGGGAACATTGGCGGGCATTTTGTTGCTTGGTGCATTCTATTATTTATGGAAACGACATAATCCTAACGACAAGCATGCTGACCGCTCAGATGTCGCGGACATCCTTAATCGACATCATGGTAGCAGGGGCGGGGTTGGTGCTGATCCTCATAATATGAGTGAAAGAAGAACCACTTTATTGGGTCCGTTGAAATATGATAATAAATTGGCGCTGGTTAATGAACAATCATTGATATCGAAAATACCAGGAACAGTTCATAGAACACCCGTCATGGATAAGGAAAAAAGTCCTCGGGGATTATTTGATAGGACGAAAAGTAAATCATACGGAAAAGAAAGAACGAAAAATAAGAAGAACACCTATGATGGTGGTAACGTAGCCATCGAGGTTTATGATGAAAAAACGCACGGAAAAGATCTTGGCTCCGGACTATCGGGAAGTCAAATACCGATGACATCCCTCGTGTTAGACGTCGAAGATAGTATATCGGACGTGTCTACGGATGCGGATAATAACAATAACTTCATGCCTAATACTCGTGCTGCAGATGTCAAAACTTCTCGTGTTATTAATGATCTAGCTTATAAAGGAACGTCGAAATCTTATGAACCACCGAAAGATAGGGATCGAGATAGACGTGAGGAACGAGAGCGCGAGAGACGTGAAGAAAGGGATAGAAGAGATGAAAGGGAACGAGATAGGGAAAAGCGGGATGATCGTGAGCGAGGTTATAGTCACGATTCGAAAACACTTGCAAGAGCGGCAACCACCTCTGGTGTAAAATCTTCAAGAGGGGATAGAGATTATCGAGATTCACGTCCACATATGCGAACGCAAAACCTGGATGACCAAAGGGAAGGTCGAAGAGGAGGAGAGGAACGAAATAAATCACGGAAAAATCGATCGACATCTAGAACTCGTGGTGGTGGTGATAATAATAACACATCGTCAAGTCGGGATCATAAAACGAACAAGAAAAAAACAACTGCTGAATTGATAATGGAAAGTGCGAATACCACCTCATTATCAGAATTAATTCGGTCGAAATCGGCAAAGACTGAAAAAGAAAAATCATCTTCCTCGAATAACCATAACCATAATAATAGCGCGAGTCAGGGTAGACATACAAGTCGACCAAACACAATATTATCATCACCTTCAACTAAACGACCAAAGAAACCTGTGAAGAAGGTATCAAGTGATGAAGGTTCTTCAGGAACAGAATCATCGGATAGTGATAATTCATCTGATCAACCATTAAGTGATCGATTACCACTAGCGATGATTGCATCCCCTGTTGCCTCAGCGAAGGCACCACAATCACCGAAGAATCCCAAAACCACGAAATCAAGAGGTGGTAGTGGCAATATAACAGTTAACAAATTTACAAATCAGTCAACTTCGTTGAAACCTCCCGAGGTCATAGTATCACAGAATGATAGTGAAGACAGTAGCAATGGTGGTGGTGGGTATTATGAATCAATCTTGAATGATGTCTTGAACGTTGGTGATTTCACCGGTTCAGAAATTAGTAATGGAAGTGAGGAGATTCCGATTGGACGACGATTACAGACTTTACGTGATGAGAAGAAAAAAGGTTTTGGTGGGGGTAAAGGTAGTGCTAGTGAAGATGATGAGGTTCCTATTGGATTGCGAATGGGATATTCTTAAAAATTATTATCATTATTATCAATAATTAATAATTGGGATTCTTTGACTTTTATTGTATTATTTTTTTTTTGGTGTGAATTTGCGCCTGTAGGATTGACTTATTTACATGTATTTCTTTTTCCTAATATTCGTGATTATATAACTTTAAATCCTTTTTTAATAGATACATCATATATAAACCAAAATAATTTGTATTCAACCATGTTTCTAAAAAAACAATCATTTATTATCTTTCTTGTTTTCATAAAAACAATAAAAAATAATTCTTTCTTAAGCTTATATGAGAAAAAGGGACGATCAACGGGCTACATTTGTTCAGCATTATGACCTTGGATCGTGACTCAAAGATTATTAAAGGATCAGATTCATGTCAAGGCAGATAAATTTCTCTTTTTTTCTTTTTTGGTGGCGGTCCTATTGACAGACTATTTTTGATCTCGGCATGATGCATGCGCTTAATGACAATAACTGAAAGTGAAAGTGTACAGTCACCCCTATTATGGAAAGTAAGCCAACCTGGGGCCGTATTTGAGGGTCTGACGTTTTAGTTTAATTTCTACTGTTCTAATTTTTAATTATTTAGAATTTTACTATGCGTAATAAATTTTGTGTAGCATTTTTAATTGATGATACCGGAGTAAGATACGACTAATTGATCAAAGAATCAATGACAACATTAATCTCTCGCATTTTCCCGTTTCACCGTCATGATATTAGATACGTATTCGTACGTGTATTTGATGAATGAAGAAATATTTTTAACTAGCAAAGCACCTTAACAGTTCTATTAAAGATCTTTGATAACTCTTCATTCAGTAGGCCATCTAATGTTGTGCTATCTCTCTGATAGAACCATTTTTGTGTCGCTAGATCATAATCGTATCGTTTGGGTCCACTTTTTTATCCGAGGAAAAATATGAGAATAAAATTAGCAGAGAAGGAGATTCCACGCATGGTAAAAAAAAATTAAGATCCCTCCATGAATTCTGATCAAGCGAAAAATACCTTAGTGGCGATGACAGCCAAATCTGTTTGTTTGGGGGTTGTTTATTTAATACGTATGTACCAGCCGGTCCGCATTTCAGCGTTAACACACCACTCTGAAAAGACGTCACGTTCCATGATGAATTAACACATCATTGACGAGATAAAAAATTCAATAATACCCAAGATCGCGCCATAAGATTTATCTCAGATCATTCTCTAAATAAAACACAAAATTAATAAACTCACCGAATACTCAACATCATAATTATCATCATCAAGTTCATCCCCCAAATTCTCAAGATACTCTAATATTTGCTCCATCGTTTCTTCTGATATTCGATGATACGCATCGGCTGATAACTCGCTATCTTGTGCACGCGTTTATTTATTTTTTTTGATCCACGTATTAACCCATTAGCGATGTTATAAAATCACCGTAATAAACAAGCTCTCACCTAATTACATAGTTAGGATTTGCCTCGAGTTCTTTACTTGTATCTACAGAAGCCGCCAAACCTCTCACACTCTTACAGCTATTATTGATATTGTAATGTCTTTGCAACCACACGTTCACAAAGGATTTATTAAACCCACAAATATTCGATGAATTCCTGGGACTTTTGTTAAGACCGCTGCACCTAATAGAATTATTTGAGCATAAGTTCTCCTTTTTCTGCCATGATAAACCTCTTCTACATAGTGTTCCTAAAACTGTGTTGGTTCTCGCATGCAAAGATAACGGTGCTGTTAATTGTTCCTGTGAATTTTTCAATAAAGTAACTGTTGAGTTAAGGAAATGACGAGTTGACCACGGTAATTTGGCAAGCATGGTTAGCGGCAATTGAAATGGAATTTTAAAAGCCAATGTTCTTATGATCGACAATAATTACATAGTTTTTGGATCTTATATCAAAGACTTTAATACATTTATATAGATATCAAGGAACAAGGGTAAAATAAAAATATTAACGTTTAATCTTCTTCCATCTCTTGAACAAAACCATCACCGCTCCCTGATGTTTGTAATGAGGAACCAGGGATTTGCCCCGCTTGTAACTGTTTCTCAAGGCGACTAACTTCTTCTAAGGTTCGCGCGTTCCTAATCGCCTCCTGCAACAAAAACAGATGCGATTCAACGGGTCATCAATAGATTCTAATTATAAATCGAGATACAATTTTTTAAAGAATAAACCTGAATTTTTGCTTGTTCTTCGGGAGTAATTCCGAGGGTAGGTAGATTAGATTTTGGCGGTAATGCACCACCGCCTATACTCCCCAATCCTTCACCAGGCTCAAATGTCTTTGATATTGTCTCAGATATCGATTTGGCTAATGAAGTTAATTCTCCCTCGTGAGCTTCAAATAGTTTCTTCGATTCTTCACGCTCCTAAATCATCATTACCATTATCTCATCATGGTAAGCATTATCCTCTTCCTGGACGTATCAATGATAATGAATCGAAAGAAAAAAAAAATTACATACGGCTTTGCGAACTCTTCTAAAATCTAATACGCGCAAATTCGGGATCTTCCAAATTAACCAATTCCTATAATACTTCTTCCGGGTAACCGGATTATCCAACAAACTAACATACTGTAATCTACGACAATCCTTCAACGGTTCAAGATCGGTCAGCTCCGCGATATTATTGTTGGTGAGAATCAATGTGTTTAGGTTCGGTAAATACTCGGCGATTTGTGGATCGATTCTGGTGATACGATTGTTCGCTAGTAAAAGGGTTTTAATGCGATTAAGAAGAGGGAAGTTGCCTAGTATGCGTATATCATTGTCCGTCATATCGATCGTGTCATTTTGATCCTTTTTGTTTTTTTGGAGTTTCACATTGCATCAGTGTTTTAAATGGGCTAGCTCAATACGTCAATTATGTGTGATCTCTTACCTTTGTGACGCCAAGATTTTCAATAGTGGGTATCTTATTACCTATTTCATCAATTTATTAGAGCAGAAATCAAAGTTAAGGAGCAATATAGGAAATCAAATTCACGGAGAGGATTAAGTTGAAATCAAATCATCACCAGCTTTTTTCAATGGTAGTAAATTCAAGCCAGAACATATCGAGTAAAAAAGTTAGTTGAAAAAACAGTTCAAATCAACTCACTCATTAAATTAATGACACAATAATCCCCTACCCCAGCAATAATATTAAAAGTGGAAACAATAATCAGTAGTAACAATTTTGAACTCTTTAAAGGATACCACGTAAATCGAGTTCTCGATCTTTCACAGCATTTATGTAACTAGACGAACGCTCGATGAGCTCAGGCGTTAGTTTCATCGTTAAAAAGAATTGATGGAAAGGCGCGCGTGTTGCTCTGCAGAAATTTAAAAATCCCACGTCATGTGATGTGATACAGAGATCTGTTGGTAAAAAAATTATCGGCTATCACCTATGCCAGTCTCCAGCGAAAATGTACACTTTAATAAGCGAGGACCACATTTTTTTGAATGGGCAATGTTTATGATTATGCCCCCCTCGATTTAAAAAAAGTAATTTGTGGTGGGGGTGTGTGGTAACGATGATTGTTTTTTCGCAATGTGTGTGCATCACTTCGGACGGGTGGATCGAGTGATATTGTTGTATTTCTTTTTTTATTCTTGGTCTAAACTTTTTTGGCACAATTTGGGACAGTTCCGTCGTTCATACAAAGTCATCATACATATGTCAGTACCTGCATCATTTTCCTCACCATCCATTAGTTTGTTTATTTTTCTTTTTCATATTCCTCATAGCGATAGAGAAAATAATAAACACAAACGTATCACACAATCTAAAAATTAAAACTTAAATTCAAGTGTATCCTCCTCTCATTCACATATTTCATAAAAATCATCAATAGCGATAGCTTTTCGAACAGTAAATCACGACAAAATATGGTATAGAAAAAAAAAGGGAATCATAATCAATCAAATCAATTCTCACCTAGTTTCATCATCCGTCATCAACCTCTTCTTATTGGTTAATTTGCAGCAAGACGAACCCCCAAATAAATCAGGGTACATACATCATTTCAAACAGCGACAGTGACAGAAGCAGGATTTGTTCAAAAGAAAAAAAAAAAGATCATTATATATCACTATATTTGTAGATAAATACTAATAAAAAGCTGTGACAAAAGTCCCCCTTTTCACTCTTACCACTCACATACACGCCAACCAACGCTTCGTCTGTTATATATACGAAAGCATTCGCTAAAAGTTGTCAAAAAAATACCACACTCTATCAAATACCACTACCTCTGACACTACCACACACCTTTAAAGGACAAGAGAACTAAAAAAGATCACTAGTATTATAGTTGCCAGGAAAACCTCTCAACCTCTACCTTTTCCTCGCAACCCTTTACAATTCAGTAAAATTTGCTTTTGGTACCGTCCCTGTCCAACTTGCTTTCTTTTCTCCTTTTTTTTTTTTTTTTTTTTTGGGTTCTTCACTCTATCTCAATTCTTTTATAGAGTTCGTTCTTTCTCGTGTAAATAATAACTATGACACTTAATAATAATAATGATAATACTGTCGACTAATGCGACGAGAGAGAAAGTTTCAATTTGAATATTTATATATTATAACAATATATACAATATGCTACCTTTTGAAATTTATTTCTTCGTCGTCGTCTATCTATCTATCTATCTATCTATAAAAGATTTATATCTCTCATATATATAACCCAATACAAGTAATGCTCACACCCCCAACACTCTTCCTTTTGCAGTTTGCCTTAGTATCCTCCTCTACCACCACCACCACCACACCCACATTACCTACTCCTACCCACTCCTCTTACGAATGTCTGACCGAGGTGAAGAAGCCATTCCCTCCCCCTCAGAAAGAAAACGGTCTCTTCCTTCTGACGACGAAGAAGACGATCTAAGTCTTGACGAAGGTAGAGGACGCTTTAAACGACCAGCCTTGAATAATTCTGGGGGAGAGGACGACGAAAATTCAGAGTTAGCTTTTCAAGAAGAAATTAACGGTGAGGGAAGAGCCGTTATTTCTCCTTCAGCGTCCGCAGAAGCAATGGATGTTAATACTCCTCCTTCAGAAAGGGGCGGCACCGAATCGAAAGAAAAACCCAATCAGACTGTCGAACCAGAAACCGCTCTACAAACCATTTCCCTTCGCGCTCTGGTCACTACCAAAGAGGCTGGGGTCATCATTGGGAAAGCGGGAAAAAATGTTAGCGAGATTCGGGATAGATCCGGTGCTAAGGTTACTATATCCGAGATGGTCCAAGGTGCCTACGAAAGAATTTTAACGGTGACCGGTCCATTGGATACTGTTGCAAAGGTATTTATATTCAAGATATTCGGATCATCATCTTTTTAATTTTCACCGATTTAATAATCATTTGATTTTCGTCTTCTTTTTTTTTTTAAAAAAAAAATTTTGGCTCAATGCTATCAAATATTCGATTTAACTTTGTCGACTGTGATTGATTTTACCTGAAATTTTTAACTTTTTTCAAACATTATCTAATACCCCCATAATTTTAAGGCATTTGCTTTAGTAGCACGCAAAGTACTTGATGAGAATTTGGATGCACCTTCAACGCCTACCTCAAAATCCACAACAATCCGCCTCCTCGTTCCTCATTCACGCATGGGACCAGTAATTGGTAAAGGAGGTTCAAAGATTAAAGAAATTCAGGAAAAATCTGGAGCAAGGTGTCTTGCATCCGAAGAGATGTTGCCCAGTTCCACAGAACGAACCATTTCCATCTCTGGTGTCCCTGATTCTATTCATATTGCAGTTTTCCACGTTGGCGAGGAACTATCGAGACATACAAATGATCGTGGTGGACAAATAACCCCGTATAGACCTCAACCACGTATTGTTTATCATCAACCTGCCGCCGTTGCCAGTAATCATCCATTCTACGTGGGAATTCCTGCTCCACCGCCACCTTATGGACGTGATTTTCTGCCCGGACCTCCAGGTCCGATGAATCAACCACCACCAGGATCTCAAGCACAACAAATCTTTATCCCTAATGATATGGTCGGATGCATCATCGGCAAAGGCGGTAGCAAAATCAATGAGATCAGGCATCTCTCTGGTTCACATATCAAAATCGCCGAGCCACATGGAAACACAAACGAACGTCTGGTCACTATCACTGGAACGCCCGAGTCAAATCAGATGGCACTTTATTTGTTGTATAGTCGACTTGAGGCTGAAAGAAGAAAACCGAGTGTCTAATTAAAATAAAACCATATTTAAAAGTTAAATACACACACACACATATATATATAGTTTCCCCCCTTTCCTTTAATGTTATTGTAGTATTTTATTATTACTGCTACCGTTTTGATTATTGGTCTATTTTTTTCGCCCTTGTTTATTATCTTTTTCCCCTGTCCCTGGCGAAAGTAATAGGCTTGTGATTATCATTTTTTTATTAAAAATGTTTATATTATGATATAATTGAGGAACTGTTTATCTTTTTTTTTTCTATTTTCTTTTCTTTTTTACATTTTTACATTTTATCTATATATGAAAGGATGATCCCATCTTGTTTAGAGTATAAAATAGGGAATATCCTTCAAAATCAAGAACATTTTTTTTTACAGTACGCATCGTTGATGAAATTTATTTTTTAGCATATATTCTAGATGTTTAGCATTTTATTTTTTTTGCTAAGTTGAGAATTATAAACGGAAAATTAAATAAGTCGATTGATGGAAATAGCAACATGGTTGGTGAGCTAGATAGTCGGTCAATCAATTAATCTGGAAAAGTGAACATTGAAGTAGCACGATTAGGCATTCTCTTTATTCTTTTTCTTTTGTTAAGTATGCGTTTGAAATAAAAATGGTATTTTTCTATTTGATGAATATCATTTTTTACTTGGTATCCAATCGCGAGAGATGTTCCTTATTTCAAAAAAAAATTGTCCATTACTTTTTATTTAAGCCAAAATTATCAATTGTTCTCAAAATATAGGCATTTTATGATTAACTGATCTTTTTTTTTAAATATCTATCAAAATTTATGATTCTGAGGATACCCTTGCATGGAATTTGGCTGATCTCGGGTTTTCAATATACTTTCTCGATCGGCAAACCATTTGATATGATGGTATAGAAACGGATGTCTTAAAGGCCTTCTTTCAAATTCGGCAATTCTTGATGCATGATCCATAGTCGAAGTAGGTCATGAAGTTTTTTTGATATAGGAATGCCAGGCGCCGATTTTGGTTGTATTTGCAATTTAAAACAT